TTTTGCAGTACTTGGAGGTAATCATGAATCTTTTCCTCCGTAAACTCGCGAAGAATGAATATTAAGAGTGCAAAATCCCGTAATCAACAATAACGGGATCGTTTTCTGAGAGATCTGCCGATTTCTTCTTTCTTTCGTCACTACACGGAATTTTGTGGTAAGAATAATGACAGTATAATAAAAATGTGTTTCCAGTAAAATTTAAATTTAATCTTCAATGTGCTCTTTGATTCCTGTTTTTTGTTCTATCTCTTTCTGGCTTAAAACATGAACTACAATGCCTTCTTTGCTTCCTGTTTCTTTTTATTTCTTTCTGAGATAAACTGAAACCTTAAGCTTTAAGTTAGAAAAAGGCAGAGAACAAGAAACAGAAAACAAAGAGGACATTGTAAATTGAGTTTAAGGTTTAAAGTTTGTGTCAGGAAAAAACAGGAAGTGAAGAAGAGCATTGTAGATCGAGCTTTATTATACTTCTCTTAGCAAAATGGACTTTACTGGCAGTCTATTCCTGCTCTCTCGAAATGAATCAGTGAAACATCACTGAAAACAGTGAATATACACTGCTTTGCAGTTATAAACGTTGTAATGAAAGTGCTCAGTGCTATACTTATAACTGATACCAGTAATTATTCACTGATTCACTTTAAGAGAGTGGATCACTAAAAACAGTGGAAAATTTGAAAAAGATTTATATAAAAAAGAACCATAATATATATTCTCCCCGTATAGGACTCACTCTCTTAAAATGAATCAGTGAAACATCACTGAAAATAGTGAATATACACTGATTTGCAGTTATAAGTGTTGTAATGAAAGTGCTTAGTGCTATACTTATAACTGATATCAGTGACTATTCACTTAAGAGAGTACGTACATTGTTAATCTTTTTTTATTTTTCAAAGTTGTTTTTACGCAGACACGGGACGCGCTTGTAACGCGAGCATTTGCGTCATGAGACGCGCTACCGGCCGCGCGTACAAGATTTTCCTAGGTCGTAATCCGTCACGTACATACCTGTGCATTGCGTACGAAGGGAACAATAGGCTCGCGAGACAAATTACAGTAATATTCCTGTCGCTCTCGGCCGTTTACGAAAGAACGCCTACACAGAGTCTTTTCGTGAATGTCGCAAACCCCAGTCTAATAGCGATGGAAAGTAGAAACCCGCGTTGTGTTAAAGGAATAGAAATCGAAATTACAGTTCCTCGTGAAACAAGAGTCTTCAACGCTACACCGGTGCTTCAACACACAGCTCTGTTCTTATTAACACGGTGACCGTGCCTTAGTGACATCAGAGAACTTCCTTTCCGATTTTAAAATCAGTGTGTTACTTTAATACGCAAATTAATTCCATTTATTATTTTTTTTTAATTATACGATTTAGCTTATAATATATGAAACAGAGACTTCTTCTCGCACGCCCAATATTCTTTTCTGTGCAAAAATATGACAGAGTTTAAAAAAAATATGTAATGCAAAAGAAAAATAATTACTTCCTTCAGTTTTACTTAACATAATTTTAAAATATTTTTAGTCTACTATTAGTATATTTAATTATTTTATTTATATTTTTGGTATATTTAATGTTATATATAATATTTTATATATTCTCAATTTTACGTAACGTTAATTAAAAATATAAAAAGCAACAAATTTGAATACAAATTTGAATAGTTTTTATAAGAAATTACAAATTCGTCATTTTGATTGCTTTAGTTTCTAGTTAATTTTATGCGTGTCGAGGGGCTCCCAGCCCCTCGACTAGCATAAAAGTTGCTACAAAATATGGGAGATTTTTCGCAAATTACGGCGAGCTACAAAAGCTATCGCCTACCGAGCGAGAGGACATAATGAATTTGTATACCGTGGTGAATTTTTTGGCATAATCGACGAGGAGAGTACGTGGGACACGTTTGCGCATACACGTATTATTTACGACCAACGCAAGCGCGTTGGTGAGAGCCATAAAAAAAAAAAAGAAAAAGAGAAGAAAATGCAAAACCATGTGTGTCACTTAATACGAAGGAAGGTCTTAAAACGCACGAGCTCTTGCGCGTTTTTTTAATTAGAGAAACGCCCGTATCAGAATGAATGTTGCTCGTGCGTTGCCGAGCTGCGCGAAAGAGTCGTAAATTCGCCGCGCGACGCGTTTCACGCGTATACGCATTCCATACATCCCGCGAGGCATAATCTCTCGACGCGAATATACGCGCGCGAGATGGCACTTAATGTCGCGCTTCGAGCATCGCTCGAGCCCGCCGCTGGTATCACTAAAGTGTACATTTTTGTAGCTCCATGAACGCGACGATGATGACTCCATACGGGGTAATAGCCGCGCTTCTCCGAGATAAATAAAAGTCGCGACGTCATGGCGAGTGTCGCGCTACACACGTATCCCGTAACGACTCATCTTTCTTCTCCCTCCCACTCCCCTCTCTCTCTCTCTCTCTCTCTCTCTCTCTTGTCTGCAGATTCTTTAAGGGATTCGACGTCGAATTTTCCGATCAACAAGTTGCGATTCCGACTGGTTTTTCCCCCACAAACTATCATTAAAAACTTATAAGTTTTGGTTTTTCTTTCAAGTAATGAATATTTTCAACAGAAAACATTTGCTTGAGGATAGTCTTAAAATATACTTATGACGAATAAAAAAGCTTCATTATCGTGTACTCAAAGAAAGAATTCATATTCTCTCTGCAAGAATATTACTGCATTATTGCATTCATTCTCTTCGCAAGAAATCTTTTGTACTTTCTATTAATGAAAATTATTGCTTAATAATAAGAACGTAAATTTTCATTGCAAATATATTCTTGCGAGTAACTTATCTCCTCGTTTAACGTTATGTAATCTTATCTGAAGATTAACGTGTCAAAAATGAAGATATTCCCCAAAGGAGAATGTCCTTTTTCCCGTGCAAACCGTATCGAAAGCACACAAGTTTACATACATACATCCTCCGCCCAGATACTAACATGTCAATGTTTTCCCCTTCTCGGCGCTTTCACACCGGGGGGAAAATCGACCTCGAATCGATCGAAGAGAGCTGTCAGACGAGAAGGTGGGACCCGCGAAGTCTGAGAGGACGTCTCGCGCGCGGCGATGCAATTATTTACGTGCTCCAAAATAAACGACGCCCATCACAATAATACCGGCGAAATGAAGATTTACGCTCACGCTAAAAAGCGTAGGCGCCCTGGCAGCCGAGCGACGTCGCCGCCGTTCTCCATCTGGTTTTGGATCTGGTTTTCAATCGACACGCCGCATTCTCGAGGAGCCATTCCTCTCCCTCTCTCCCTCCCCCCCCCTCTCTCTCTCTCTCTCTCTCTTTCTCTCTTAATCTCGTTCGATCTCCGGGAAGAAAAAGGGAAAAAAAAGAAATTCGCGACGGTCGCGCCCCGTTGATACGCGCGGATTAATATGCCCCGGATTAGTTTCTGCTGTGAGATTTCCCGAGAGAGCGGAGAGAACCCGGCTGCGTGCGTGCGCTCGCTCACTCGAGCGGGAGCGGGCTCGACAGGTGTGGCGCTGTTGTCCACCGTCCACCGGGTCGGCCAGGAGGTGAAACACGGGCCTGATTAATGCCGGGCGCGCGCACCTACCTATGCGTGGGCATGCGACTCGAGCGTTGCGTGGGTGTCTCTTCGGCTACCTGGCTCTGTCCCAAGGGCACTGATCGCCGTCGCCACCGTCCGAGCGCGCATACATATCGGCGAGCCGCGCGCGTACACGCACCGGAATATATCGTTCACGCACACGCACGCACCTGGTCAACAGGCGACGAGGCCATCTGACAGAGTGAGAGAGATTGTACGTGTGTGTGTGTGTGTGTGTGTGTGTGTGAGAGAGAGAGAGAGAGAGAGAGAGAGAGAGAGAGAGAGAAACGAACGAGCGAACAACAGCTCCTTAAGAGAAAACCAAAAGCCATATTAATACTCGTTAATTGAAATTTGTTTCAAGTGAGATACACAGAAAAAAAATTTCAGTTCGCATAACTGAATGAGAACCAGACGAAAAGCTCGCCGACGAGAAATGAGATCTCGGTTACTGTACAAAAAAATTTTCAGCTCGGGTAACTGAAACTCACTCAAATATCAGTGTTTTACTTGAGACAAGTTTCAAGTAACGATCATTAACACGGACCTCAAAGTTAGTAAGCTTTCACCTTAATATCGCGATTACAAGTATGTGTCGCACATATTAATTATATTAATTAAATAAATTTATAATTCAAATAAAAAAATTTAAGTCTAACTCTAAGTTTTCAGATCTGAGTGTCTCGTGTGGGGCAAGTTTCAAGTGAAATATTCACACTTGAATTTAGAATGAGATGTGAGCTTTTTTCAGCTGAATCACGATTACAGATATAACATTACATATATCATATGATTCAACTGAAAAACTCAGAGTAGGTTTTAAATTTAAATTCGGATATATCTCACGTGAGGAAATCCAGACAGACTTTCATGATCATCACGACGTAAGACAATCGATGATGGAAACTTTACCATTCTATTAATTATATTCATGAAGAGAATGTACTGCGTGTACTGAATTAATTATTAAATTTACTAAAAATTCCATGTATTAAACATACACTACTTCAGAATATATAAATGTTAAGAAGTTCAGTTCAAAAGTAGGACTGAAATTTCGACTCGTGAATAGTCACAATTGTGAATCAACTGCTTACGTAATTGCTTTTATGGCAGAAACTACGAAATGATAGTACAAGGTAAATGTTGCCCATTTATTATATTCTTATATGAAAGATAAAAATATAATAAAAATTCTTATATCTTTTTTGAAACTTTCGTTGCAATGATGACGTCGGGTATCTCATATATTGTCACTTCGACTCCTGTTAACTCCTTAACAGATTTCATGCCGCAAACTTGCGAATGTAGCTATTTGATGCGCTCCTAACTTCATCAAGAAAAATGTGTCAAATCGTTTATCGAAGTTTGAAAGCGCTGTGACACGCGTTTGTTCCAGCCCATCGCAAGTGACACGTTTGCTCTACATCTGCTTACAATTTCTACAATGTTGCGTGTTGCATTTAATCAAGTTGTTCGAAAATGCAGCACTAACGCCTGCAAAATGGTGAAGTGTAAGCGGCTAGAAGGAAAAGTCGCAATCGTGACAGGCTCGACAAATGGGTAAATCAAATTATGTCAGCTAACGCACATGTTCCTTCTATTTTCTCTCTCTCTCTTTCTTCCTCAGTGTACCATACAACATTGTTTACTCGAAAATATCTTCCACTGTTGACACGTCGCACTCTCTCTCTCTCTGCGGGAACTGATAACATAACAATGCTTTGAATACAGCGCTTAGGTTACGCTTTGTATCTCCACAGTATAGGTTTCTCTATAGCGAAGCGTTTAGCACAGGAAGGTGCTAAGGTAATGATTAGCAGCCGCAAGGAATCGAACGTGAAGAAAGCCGTGGAGGAACTCAAATGCGCAAAACTGCAAGTCTCGGGCACCGTGTGCCACATAGGAAAGACGACAGACAGAAAAAATCTACTTGAAAAAGTATATTATGACAAATGAATTGATTGGGTCCGATATCTTTCCACATTTTTCAATTGTGCACGATTTACTGCACTAAAAAAAAATATTTAAAAATTAACAAATATTTCTTAGGTGGATGCTATTACTATTATTTACTCAAACCGAATAAACAATATTCGATTTAAATGAAAAGAATTTTAATTTAAATAAATATGTTAATAGTACCTACCTAGAAATATTTATACAGTACAGTATCTAAGAAATATTTGTTAATGTTTAGATATTTTTTTTCTGAGTGTGGGTTGTGTAATAAGTGATTTCGAATTTGTCAGGTAAAATAAAACTATCATATGTTTATGCCCTTATATAATTTTGTGAAACAATGTGGGCGAAAAATCATAAATTGTCTTAAGATGATGTATTGCCCTTGAAAATGATGAAAACAAATCTGGAAAATTAAATAATATATAAAATAAACAGACTACACACACACAAACACGAATGTGATGTCAAAGTAAAAAATGTTGTTATTTCGAATTTTTAATTACTCTTGCAGGGACTATATGTGGGCAATACATTCTTGAGAAGTTACAACGACAGAGAAATACAATCGTTTTCTATTTTACCTGAAAAATTCCGAAATTATTTACAACACACAACACGCGATATTTTTCCCTCCAAACTTCATGTCTCAATTTTCTTGCACGGTACAATATCTCCTTCCGATTGCTTTATCACGCTGTCGCTGTTTCGCAGACCAAGGCTGACTTTGGAGGTCTAGATATCCTGGTGTTTAACGCGGCTGTTAGTCCAGCACTTGCCACGGTGCTAGAAAGTACAGAAAAGATGTGGGACAAAATTTTTGATACCAACGTTAAGTCGACCTTCCTGCTCATGAAGGAATCCCTGCCGCTCCTCAAATGCAGTAAATCAGCTTCTATTATTATCGTGACCTCAGTGGCGGCGTATCAGCCTATCGACGTGAGTCCATTCTCAGGGTATTTTAATTCCACTTCAATCCCTCTCTCTCTCTCTCTCTTTCATCTTGTAATAACAAAATCTCAAAAACACAATCACCTCCGCTAGATCGTAGGCGTATATTCAATCAGCAAAACCGCTCTGATGGGGCTGTGCAAAGCCACCGCGGAGGATCTCGCGTGCGATAGGATTCGCATAAACTGCATTGCGCCGGGGGTTATAAAGACCAACTTTTCCAAAGCGGTACTTTATCCGTAGTCGTATTCAAGGCGTCTCGTATCTCTCGCGCAAAATTAAAGTCGAAATAACATTCCCGTATGTGCACACCCTTCCTTGCGGTTTTCAGTTATACGAGTCGGAGGCAGCACGCGAGACCGCCGTGTCAAGTATTAGTATGGGAAGAATGGGGATGCCAGATGAAATTGCGAGCGTAGCCGCGTTTCTAGCGAGTGACGACGCTTCCTACATCACTGGCGAGTCTGTAGTGGTGGCGGGCGGAATGAAATCTCGACTCTAGACTGCCTTTTATACTCGATCGATCGTTATACACTTCGTACGTTCCAATTCGTGCGTTCGTAGATCACATATGCAAATTGTTTGCGGAACTATCGGCCGATTTGTAACTACTGAATTTTCGCGACGTACTTGCGACATATCGCAACGTTGAAATACAAAGAATATCGTGTACACAGAGAGAACGATTTGGTTGAATCAAATAAACGCTTCTTCGGAACAGTCCAAACGAATTTTTTGATTGAAATTTTGAAACAACAAAATATGACACAACAAAAATATTTATTTGCGGCTTAGTTCCAAAGACATATTTCTGTTGTATCAACCAAATAATTTGTTTGGACTATTCCAAAGAAACATTTATTTGATTCAATAAATCGTTCTCTCTGTGCACGTCTCAAAGAATCGAAGTTATCGGGTAAAAATCGCCCACTAAATTTCATTTGCGCTTCAACGACGATGTCATTACCGTGTCGAAATACACTGTATAAGAACGATCTCTCGCGTTCCTCGGTCATCTCTCGATACCACGAGCGACTAATTGCGTACATGGCGACGGTGGTTTACGGTAAGGCGCGTAGCTGCATAAAGCGTAAATTGTAATTGCGGTTAATGACAGTTTAAAATATTTTTAACGACATAATGGGCGTTTTGTCGAGGACACGACTGGTTTTGCCGCGGCGTTTATGCCGGGGCGTAAAGATCCCGAGAAGAAAATAATGGCACTCTCTCGCGGGGGCCTCCGCAAGAATCTCCGTTTGCCTTCGTCCTCGGTATGCGGCCGTGTCACGGTGCAAGAATGTATCGAATTTCCAAGTTTGGGAACACTCCTGCCCCGCAATTCGTGCCATGGCTTTAATCACGTACATATGTGAACACGCGTGTGTGTGTAATATCGTATGCCCTCTGGAGTTAAGCCGCGGAAGGGTCTTGTCGGGAAACAGGCATCATTTCTACGTCTCACATATTTGATTAATAAATGACTTCTTTCCTAATCATCGAATAGATTTTTACTATTTTTTAGATATTTCTTTCTCAATATAACATAAACGTTTCGGACTAAACCCAGAACTCTCTTCCATGTATCGATTTAACGTTCAAAACGCGCATGTTTCATTTTTAATTATTTTTCCAATGGTAGATTCAAAATTTTTCGATTTTCTGCAACAGTAGTTTGAACTTCGATTTAAGTTTAAATCTTCATTGGTCAAAGAAACTGTTGGTGACAGAGTTTAAACCGAAATCTAACTTGTAAAATCATATTAATAGTTGTCACTTAAAATCCGTCTTATGTGAGATAGATTTTTATTCAGTGTTAGATCCAAATTTTGCAGTCGAATTGGATGACATATCCAATTTAAGACACCTTAAAGACATTTATACGTAAATCGTCTGAAAGACATCTTAAAGATGATCTTTAAGATGTCTTATGTCCCGATTTTAGACATTATGTTATCTGGGCTTATAATAAACTATAATATTGAAAATATATAAACGTATACCATAGGACATTGTCTTAAGGCAAATGAATTACCATGGAACGGGACCGAGAAGAAAAGTCGAAAGGAATTTGTGAGCCGTAAGAAATTAATATACTCTTTAAGGTGATATTTGATCTGTCCTTTTCTACTGCACTGCTGAAAAGAACAGACCACTGGTATCTGTAATCGCGATTCAACTGAAAAACTTTTATTTAACTCTGAACTGAAATTCGAGTATCTCACTTGAGAGGGACTTCAAATAACGACTATTAATGCTGCTGGAAAATCAGCCGTAAGTAAATGTATAAATGTTATTTCTCTCTCGTTATCCGACGATAATCGACAATTGCGCGACGTGTGTTACGTGTACACGCTCCGCTGACGTCCGAAGAAAGGCACGGGCCTATCTAGACATACATAATGCGAAAATATTTGGCAGCGAGTCCCCTCCGGGCTCGAATAACCGGACTTACGCGTGCGTATCGGCGTTTGGCGCGCGCAAGAAGAGAAAGAACCAAAAACGAGACGCACGTCAGTCGCGCCAACGCTCCCTCGTGGCGTATCGCCGTTGTCCGTGACGTAATCCGGAGTATGATAAATATTTGGCTGGCGTAACACTACCGTCATATTAAAGAGACAGCAAGAGAGACGAGGAATTTGTACGTTAATGCTGCAATAACCAAGTAACAGTGGGAGCAGAACTACCGTTAGTAAAAGCAACGATCAAACAGCTACCACGCGCGAGGAGAAAGAATACATTAACCCTTCGCGGCTCGAATTGATTTCGAAAGAGGAAGAGTATATTAATTTCTTACGGCTCACAAATTCCTTTCGACTTTTCTTCTCGGTCCCGTTCCATGGTAATTCATTTGCCTTAAGACAATGTCCTATGGTATACGTTTATATATTTTCAATATTATAGTTTATTATAAGCCCAGATAACATAATGTCTAAAATCGGGACATAAGACATCTTAAAGATCATCTTTAAGATGTCTTTCAGACGATTTACGTATAAATGTCTTTAAGGTGTCTTAAAAATTATCGTTAAGATGTCTTGTAAGATTTTAGACATTATGTTGTCTTGGAGGTCTATCTTGCTGAGGAACATAATAAATTTCGCTATAAATATAGCAAATGTTTTAATAGAATATTTCAGTATTCTAAAATGTAAGTGACACACATGAAATGAAAAGATAATGAATTATTGCGAAATGTCAATGTATACAAAATAGAGTATATTCACTATAATGTTTACCATAAAATTCTTCCCGTATATATTGAATGATTAACTAAGAAAACGGTGGCTCATAGAGTCGACTAGAACGAAACACGACTCGACGTAGGGGAAACCACATAAAGAGTCAGTATTAATAATATATTATATAATACGGAATGAGTCACAATAAATAATATTACCTCGAATATCTTCGATATATATGAGAGTAGAAAAAATATCTATCTAAAAAGTGCAAGATACACAAAAGCGATCGTTTTATAATTAAAATGTAATTTCTGTTATGGATAAATTCCTCTTCTACTTTTATATTTTAAAGATATTCAAATAATAATTACTGCCTCATCCTGTATAATAATAATAATAATATATCACGTATAGGCATGAATGCTACTGTCTGCTGAGGTGACCGACACGACGATAGTGCAGAAGAGGAGAAGCCGTAAGCTGAGGAGGAAAGCGGAATGCATTTCAAGGAATGAAATTTCGAGATTTCGACGAACGAGAAACGACGCACGGAACGTCTCCGTGTCCGCGCTACGCCGCGTTCAAGTTTCAACATTGTAAATGTTAAAACAGGAACACAAATCGCGTCTCTCGCGGAAGATAGAGCCAGATTAATCCGGCTGTTATTCCAGTGTAACGAAAACGCGAAAGCTCATCCTAGCCAAGTCTGAACGTAAAAGAACAACGTGGAAGATAGAATTGCCGATCTACGCGCAATCTATCGTTGTTACTCGCGGATAAGCATCCACGGAAATTGAGAAACGAAGCGGATTCAAGAAATTCGTCGTGCTTACAGTAGACGAGATGATATTTGCGCAATTCTCGCTCTCTGAATTTCTGGAAGTGAAATTTCACTCGAAAAGTCAGCTGATCCATCGAGTTACTCGAAATCAAGTGTGTGACTTCTCGCTCATATATACACAGAGCAAATATATAATAGTGGAAACAATATACTCATTACTAGAAAAGATATCTGGAAAATATTTATTTGGTGAGTACTAATTTATTTATGTGTGTATAATAAATACAAAACTCACATTGTTGTCATCTTATAGTTATTACCGTGTATTTTTCTGTGAATATAGAGTGAGTTCTCTATATTAGGTGCTTTCCATTTAATAACACAAGTCGACATAAGCATCATCCTATCTTTGTTATTCATTGAATATGGAACAAAGACAGAATGATGCTTTTGTCGACTTATGTTATTAAATAGAAAGCACCCATTCTGAACCGTCGAGTGAATATTTTCATTCAGCTTAAAAGGCTTGAGGAGTGAATTTGGAATCTGACGTGTTCCATCGTCACAGGAAAAGATACTTGAAGATTTATTTGTGGAATATACAGTTTATATTCGCGGAAATAAATCTTCACTATTTATTCGCAGAAATAAATCTTACACCTCACAAGTAATTTTTCAAGCATTTCTTATCAATGCATTTATTTTAAACGATTGAAACGTTCGCTCATATGAAGTCAGAATTCATTCCAAGCTTGAATAAAACATTGACTCTTGCGATTTCGAATGACACTGTCGTCTCGAGCAAAAATCTTTAATTTTTCACCCGTTTTAAGCGAGATTCCACTTTAAGAAATTTAGAGAGCAGAAGATAATACCCTATTTGACACATATTCTATATTTCACTCATAGATCGAGTGACTTTCGCGATTTACATCGAGGTTCTTATCGGCTTTTTTCATCTCTAATTTTTCATCTCTAAACGGCGTCACCGGACACATTTTACGGAGCGTTGTGCGCGCGCAAATTGTCACTGTTTAATACATATATCTCGACTGGACGATCGCCTATCTCTCGCATCTAACGTCGACAGCTCTAATAAGCAGATAGCCCTCGAGAGTCCAGCGTTATCGTGCTCCGTAGGAATAGGTTTGTCCGCCAATACGACAAAAATAAACGAGCTCGCGAGGAGCTTGCACGAGATACGCTCACGAGCGTGATAAGTTGATACGAAAAGTCGAAAGAGTAATACCCCCGCGTTGCCGTGCCGTCAAAGAATGCACTAAAAGCGGGCGGAGGTCTATTTTTAGGCACAGGCCGGTTGCAGGTACGTTATATACCGGTTGGCCCCGTAGGATGGTGCACTTACACAACGTAGCCGTGGGCTACGTACATGCGTATAGGAGCCGGCACGCGGACTCTTGGTCTCCACGTCTATACCGCACGCGCTCCTTCGCTCCGCCACCAAAGCGAATATCGCCCCGGTCTGACGAAATTCGGCGATTACGAAATCTCATCTCGTGTGCCTGCGAAGCCGGCGCGACGCAATTTGTAAAGACATTTG